AATATGTCTTGAACCCATTCACTTCTTTCCATCTTTACGACTATCATTCTAGTCCAAGCTACCGTGTCTTACTTGGACTTTGTAATAGTCTCTTAACTGATCCTCCTACTCACAGCCTTGCTTCTCTCCAATCTATTATCCACACAGCAGCCAGAGGTAAATTTTAAAATTTTAAAAATGAAAATCATTTTGATTGTGTGTTTCTCTGTATAAAAGCTTTCAATGACTCCCCACTGCATTTAGAGTAAAATCTAACTTCTTACTATCACCCAGATAGCCACATATGATCTGGCCCTCTATCCAACCTCATTTCATATACTCTCTCACTCACCGCCCTTTGGCTAAACTCACCCCTTTTCTGTTTACTAAGTCTTTTCCCACTACCAACACCACTTTGGCACCTTCTGTTTTCTTGGCCAGGAATGCTCTTCCTAGTTCTTTCCATGATTGGCTCTATTTCACCCTCTAGGTCTCATCTCAAATGTCACCTCTTAAAATAGCTTTCCCTGGCTCCCTGATTTAAAATATTTCCCTCATTCCCACATATTTCTCTAATAAAGCACCCTGTTTATTTTCCTGATAATATTAGTCTATAATTACCTAACTTGTTGATTCATTTCTTTATTGACTGCTGCTTTCACTAGAATGTAAGTGCCATGTGGGCAAGGACCTTATATGACTTATGTAGTAGAGTGCCCAGCAGTTGAATAAATGCGTGAAGCCAGTCTTCTTACTCTATATCCCAAACACCTTTTCCTTGCTTCCGTCTCTGTGACACTGTGTAGGACCTGCCTTCAACCTGCAATGCCCTCCAGCTTATTCTTTACCAACTAATGTCCTCTCACTTCCTTCAAAACTTAGTTCAAGACTCATCACCTCCAAAACCTGCTCATTATTGGCCCCTCTCATCCGATGATCCTGTTAATCATTGATCCAGTATACATAGAGCCCTTTAGCAATCTTGTAAACCAGTGGTCCCCAACCCTTTTGGCACCAGGGACCAGTGTTCCTATGAGAATCTAATGCCTGATGATCGGAGGTGGAGCTGAGGCTAGTGCTGGGGAGCGGCTGCAAACACAGTAGAAGCTTTGCTTGCTTGCCTGACACTCACCTCCTGTTGTGCGGCCCTGTTCCTAACAGGCCACAGACCCATTACTGGTCCACGTTCTTGGGGTTGGGGACCCCTGCTGTAAACTGTTGTTACCAGATTATCATGCCTTTACTCATATTTGCTTTGGAATCATAGTTATTTCATGTATGCAGGTAAGTTTTGTTCCTTAAGACTGTAAGTTACTCCTAGGTCAAAATTGCATCACACTTTATAATCCTCCTAAAGTACTTAGTCCAGTTTGGTGCACACTGCCAGCCATAAAGCAGAATATTCTTTTCATACCTCTGAGAATAATGCAAGTAGCTGGAAGTTCATTTTAGGAACAGAACTAGTTTTATTATTATTATTTTTTAATTTTTTTTTAGGCAAGGCAACCCTTGGTTGACCTCACAGATTGCAAGGGCCTTGTCAGTTTACAATCCCTAATTTTTGATTTTTTACACCTATAGCACCTGATCTTCCTAGGTGGTCTCCCATCCAAGTACTAACCAGGCCCGACCCTGCTTAGCTTCTGAGATCAGACGGGATCGGGCTTGTTCAGAGTGGCATGGCTGTAGACTAGAACTAGAGTTTTAAAGAGTTGTTTTGAAATTAGAAAAATGAGGCATATGCTTTTCTCTACTTACTTTATTAAAAAAAAATTAAAAAAAAAACCTGCAGCTCAGAAAATATTCCTGGGTGTGGCAGTAGCAAGAACTTAGTTATCTATCTCATAATACCTGTGGAAGAATACACAGAAGATATAATGATAGGATGTAAGTAACCTGAGGTTAGGATTTTAGACTTAGTAAAAAAGTTTAAAATTTTTTTGCAGCTTCCAGAACTTTAAAAAAGTTGTTTATTTCAAGGATAATAAAGAATAACAAATGAGCTATTCACCCTGGGTAAAGAGTTTGCCATCCTCCAAATTCTAACAGATTGGGCTACAGATGAAATTTTCATGTGCATATTAACTGTTAGTCTGCATAAAACATAATCTGCTATAGCAGTTGGAAAAATGAGTTATTTTGGTATATTTCAATAGGAGAGTTTAAAGATTTTGGCCAGTATATATTTAACCATATATATTATAACTCAGATTAATAATAAATGACCAACAAGTCATTTTTCTTTGGAAAATAAATTTAATAGGGAAAAATACTTCCAACATACTGAAAGCCTATGTGTGTGTATAAATTATCATCTTAATGTTAGACATCGTTTTTTTAATGCATAGATAGGCATTCAGTTATATAAACTTGACATAGAATCCCCAAGGTGGAACGATCCAAAATTTGATTTTTTAAAAAATTTAGTAGAGATGATTAGTTCGAAGTAGTTGTTAGTTACATTTTTTTTTTTTTGTTCAGTTACTGTTCTTTTCGATACATGTGTCAAATGTTCTATTTGATCCTTTCTAGGCAACTGGGACATCTTGTGAGAATAACTTAAGTTGACTAAATAATTTATTTTCAGGGTAGGCTTGCAAAGCAAGTTAAAAAGGCAGAGAATTTAGGCCACTTAAAGTATACATGGCTTCAATTGGAAGAAGGTCCTTTGGGGCATAATTATGCAGTCATGGTAAAAACTGCCTTCTTGTAACACAAGATTCTAAGCCTGGGATGCTTCAAATTTAAATAAAAGGTGGTTCTAATATGATAGTGATAACTTTTAAATGTCAAAACATTTCCATTTAGCTTCTGATAAGGCATAATTTACACTGTGGTGTGTGCACTCATAAGTCAGCAAAGACTATGAGTTCCACAATGATTACATTGAGAAGTCTTAGGTCAGATTGAGCAAAACTAGGCTGATGTGGGTTAGTGTAAGCTGTGACCCTGTGACTGAGCACACGACATGGTCTCTGGTCAGCCACTTCAACTACACGTTACTGTGAGATGTCATGGCAGTGCCCTTTCTTTGGTGTTGTATAAATGGCACATATCATTACTGTTATAAAATCGGTGGAATGTCATGGTAGGAAACCAAGTGACAAAGTTGTTCCCAGGGATATCAGTTTGGAGCTTAGAGGTGGCATATGGCTGACTGTTATCATTTCTCCATTCATGTGCAATTATGAGGCTACATTTATCTGTGATTGCAATATGCCTTCAGTCAGTGCACTTCTAGTTCCATTTGGTTTTAAAGAGTTGGTTTTCTAGACTCTAATTTTCCAGTTTTGAAGAATTTCTTTAATTCCCGTAATTCCTGGGGTTTCAAACTCTGATCCACTCCTGGGGTCAGTTTATAGCTCAGAGGAGACACAATGTAGCCATTTTGGTATAGACAGATTCGCTTGCAGAACTCAAAGGTGCCGAACATAACTCCAAAATATGGAACTATCTGTTTAAAAAGAAAATGAAAATCATGTTAAAATCTTAAAAGAAAAATCAATACATCTGCAATCAACTTGAATCAGGGCAAACCGAGTTAAAGGCTGTGGACAAGACAACATGATAATTCTTTTTGGAATCAAGGATGATGATGTGTGGGGGATGAAGAATGGCAGAACGGTTGAAGGGCCTAAGAGAAACACGGGTCTGGGTTAATATGCACATAGACAATCTGACATTTCCCGTCCATGTATGCTTGTCTTGATTGGAACCATGTATGTGTCAACTTGTGCAAGGTTAATCCAGAGTTCTTAACCTTTTCTTTTTTATTGTCATGGAATTGTTTTGAGAATGTGATGAAAGCTATGATCCTCTCACCAGAGAGAAGCATATGTGCACACACATATGAATTTCTGCATACAATTTTAGGATAGGGGTTTAGGTTCTCCTTAGGAGTCTAAGAGCCCCCATAGTAGGAACCTCTACACTAAATGCTCAGTTCCTCTGGGGTGGAGTATCAGATATCCCAACACTGCACAGGGTCCCCCCTCTTCGTGGCTGACAGCCAGCCTGTACTAGTGGGTCTTGTGCTACCATCAATGCTAGAGGGGATGTTTCCATGCAAACTATAGGGGGAGTGGCAAAGGAACAGGTTAGAACTAGAAGAGACAGAAGCAGTAGAGACTGACCACTCCTCTCACCTTCAGTAAGTTGGCTGCCAATCCATTCCAGAGTCCCAGCACCCCTCGGGCCTTCACTATCTGCTGGAAGCAGTCCATGGCTCCTGAGAAATGGACATCTACTCCTCCACAGTGGGGAAGGTAGGGGCTCTGAGCCTGGCAAGAAATAGAAAGTGGGATGAGGTAATTTAGTTACCAGGAAATACATGTTCTAGTGAAAGTAGCCAGAGTCTCAAGTTTAGACTCTGGATGCCATGCTCCAGGCCAACATGATGGCAGAGAATGGCTGCCACAGGGCTCTTCCTGTTCTAGGGGCTTAGAATGATTATTAATATACAGTAAAGTCATGACAACTCATTCACATATTTGTGGCTTATTCTGCTTGAAAGGAAGCAGCCATTTATTTGGGACAGACTCAACTTCATACTTAACATTCCTTCCCAACCTATGCCCTCTGGACATGACCAACACACTCCCATGCCCTTAACCTTTTTAAAGTGCCCCTGTTTCCTTGTCTTAATTGATTGATTCCCGCCCCCCCCATACCTGTTTAGACCAGTTTGAGCTGCTATAACAGAATACCATAGACTGGGTGCCTTAAACAACAGTTCTTACAGTTCTGGAGGCTGAAAAGCCCAAGGCTGAGATCAAGTTGCCAGCAGATTCGGTGTCTGGTGAGAACCTACTTCCTGGTTTGCAGACAGCCACCTTCTTGCTGTGTTCTCCCATGGTGGAATGAGAGATCATCTCTCTGTCTCTTCTTATAATGGCACTGATCCCATTCATGAGGGATCCACCCTCATGACCTAATCACCTACCGAAGGCCCCACCTCCAAATAATATCACACCGAGGACTAGGGCTTCCACATATTAATTTAGGGGGCACACAATTATTCAGTCCATAGCAAGAGGCAACCAGCAATACATGCTTGCCTTTGTGTTCTGAATATCGGTTTAGTATGACACTTGTAGAGGCATTTATTCCTAGCATACCATGAGCTCCAGTGTTAGCATAAACAATACATTCAGTGTACATGCTGTGTCAGCCACATTCAGTGATGATGTGTGGGTAACTTGTCAAGGACTAAGACAGCATTCTCAGTCACGGGCATTAGGAGAAAGTATATCTTAGTGGGGATAGAGCTTCATCCTGCATCAAACAGACCCAGATTCAAGTTGATGCTTTGTCTCATGTGCTGTGATTTGGGAGATTTATCCTTTCACTGACTCTATTTTATCATCTATAAAACAGTGCTAATAAGATAATACTACCCATTTCATGAGGCTTTTATGAAGATTAAATGAACTGGAACATGTAAAGTACTTGGTGTAGTGCCTGACACCTAACACTCAGTAAATATGGCCTGTTTTTTTTTTGTTTTTTGTTTTTTTTTTACTTCACGACCATCCATGTGGCTTATTTGAGCCTGGTCACAGGTAAACAGTTGTATTTAGGAAAACCTACTAGTGACACTGATATTAAGGAGAATTTGGTTTGACATTTACTGAGTGCCTAATATGTGCAATGAAGAGTGCTAGACCCTGAAGAACTAGGATAGTGAGGAAGGCCCAGTGCCTACCTCCATAAGTCTGCCAGCCCAGATAGTATACTGAGATAACTCGTACCAGATAGACTGTGCCAAAGCACTGGTCTAAACAGGCAGGGCGGGGCGGGGGGATCAATCAATTAAGACAAGGAAACAGGGTCACTTTAAAAAGGTTAGAGGCATGGGAGTGTGTTGGTCTTGTCCAGAGGGCACAGGTTGGGAAGGAATGTTAAGTGTGAAGTTGAGTCTGTCCCAAATAAATGGCTGCTTCCTTTCAAGCAGAATAAGCCACAAATATGTGAATGAGGTGTCAGGACTTTACCCCGAAAAGAAAAAGGAATGGTAAGGCTGTAAGTGTTCCTCAACCCTTAGCTGTATTAGGCTAACCAGGGAAGCTTTTCAGAACAACTACTGGGATCCGCCCCTAGACATTGCAATTTAACTGACCTAGGGTGACGCCTGGACATCAGCATTTTTTGGCAAGCTCCCTGGGTGATTCTGATGTGTACACAAGGTTGAGGATCACTGGCATAGTCCCTCCACCAGTGCCTGAGCACATGGCAGCTCAGGGCTCAGACCTGAGTCTACTAGCTTGCTGCTGATACTGAGAGTATCTGGGGAAAGCACATGGGCCCTAAAGCCAGACTGTGTGGACTGAGTCCCTGCTTTGCCACTGACTAGCTCTGTTACATTGAGCTAGTTGCCTTGACCTTTCTCATCTTCAAGTTCCTCATCTGTAAAATGGGATAATAATACCTACTTATAGGATTGTTGTCAAAATTAAATGAAATACATATGAAGTGCTTAGAATAACATTTGATATATAGCAAGCACTATATAAGTAACCACTATTATTAATATCATTATTATTTATTAACTAAACCTGGAGAAGAGACAAGTATGCTGAATACTGAACCAATCCACTAGACTGGAATGCTAGACTGCCGTTTGTCCAAACTGTATCTTAACTAGTAAAGAGTGATAGACATGTCACACTGCTAGTCACAAGAACCTGAACTTAAACTCCCTCCACACTAACCCAGGCAATTATCTCAGATGTCTAGTTCTGATCTATGGCTCCTGGGATGCACATGCTGCATTTTGCAGCATATCATCATCTGAAAAAAATCAGAGGAGCCAGGACCTGGCTTTGCCACCATCTATATAACCTTGACCAATTCATTTGGTTCTTTGAACCTTAGTTTCTTCAAATGTCAAGTGAGGCAATTGGAATTAAAGGACCTTGTAGGCCCTTTCTCCATCCTATAATCCATGCTGTTGGCCCTACTTCACACTCCTTCCTGCCTCTAAGCTTTCAAACCTGCCATTTCTTCTGCCTAGCTTAGTCTCTTATTAATCAAAACAGACATCACTTCCTCCAGGAAGTCTTCTCAGATCCCCAAAGTCAGGAGCCTTGTAAACATTTTGGTCACCCTGTACTTCTCTTTCATGGAATGTGACAAATTTTGTACTGATTTGGTGTATAATTGTTCCTTTCACGTGTACTCCCCCCACTACCCTGACTTCCCCGAACTATAAATACCATGAGGGTAGTGACCATGTCAGTCTTGTTTGTGGTTTTATCTCCAAAGCCTACCAACATGCCTGGCATGCAGTATGTGCTCAATACATTTAGAGGAAAGAAGGAACAAATGTGCAGTAGATGAAGATGAAAGACAAATACTTCAAAGGCAAGGTACTTGATGGTTTCTGTGATAAACTCCACAGAGGCCTTACAGCAGAGGCAACATTTCAGGTTGTTCATTCTTTCCGTGAGTACTGAAATAAACAATACTTTATAAATATATAAAACTCAAATCTTTTGACCAAAGCATTCCTACTTCTAGGAATTTATTCTATGGATATATATGCCCATGTGGGAACTGATGTATGTTATAAGCATTTTTTTTTTTTTGCAGCATTGTTAGTAACATATTCTAAATGTCCACCAATAGGGGGCTAAAAAAAAAATAACATCATACTATAGAATACTGCGTCATCATTTTAAAATATGTGGCAGCTCCACCTGGACCGATATGGTGTCATCTCCAAGAAACATGTTTAGGTGAGAAAAATGGTGCAGAAGAATATATGTCGTATGCCGCTGGTTACCTAAAAACAAAAATAACATAAATGTACATGTTTATGTGTATGTTTGCATAGACCATCTTTGGAAAGATTCAGGTGAGAAACTGGAAACTACAGTGTTGTCTCTGCAGAGAACTGGGAGGCCAAGGGACAAAGATTGGGAAAGACTTACTTTTCAAGGTATACTCTTTGCACCTTTTGGATTTTGTATTACATATACATGTTATCAAAGCAAAAGGTGGAGTACATAATTTTAAAAGAGCATTAACTAAGAAAATGAGAAGATAAGCCACAGACTGGGAGAAAGCATTTGCAAAAGGCACAACTAATGAACAACAATCATTATCCAAAATATACAAAGAACTCTTAAAACTCAACAATAAGAGAACAACCCAATTAAAAAATGAGCCAAAGACCTTAACAGATACCTTACCAAAGATATACAGATGGTAAATAAGCACATGGAAAGATGCTCTACATCATATGTCATCAAGGAAATTAAAATTAAAAAACCATGAGATACCACTACACACATATCAGAATGTCAAAAATCCAGAACACTCGCACCACCAAATGCTGGTGAGGATATGGAGCAACAGGGATTCTCATTTATTGCTGGTGAGAATGCAAAATGGTACAGCCACTTTGCAAGGCAGTTTGGCGGTTTCTTACAAAACTAAACATTATTCTTTTTAAATTTTATTAAATTTACTGAAGTGACATTGGTTATAGGTTTCAGGTGTACAATACTATAATACTTCATCTGTATATTGCATTGTGTGTTCATCAACTAAAGTCAAACGTTCCGTCACCGTATATTTGACCCCCGTTACTTTTTCTACCTCTCCCATACCCCCTTTTCCCTCTGGTAACCACTAAACTTGCTATGTCTGTAAGTTTTTGTTTGTCTTGTTCATTTGTTGCTTTTAGATTTATATCCCATATATGAGCGACATCATATAGTTCTTGACTTTTTCCATCTGACATTCTCTTTAGCATAATAGTCTCAAGATCCATCCATTCTCAATACTATCATCAGAAATGGCAGTATTTCATCTTTTCTTATTGCTGAGTAGCATTCCATTGT